AAAGGCCCTTCAGCAGCAGAAAGGAGACAGAGGAAATGCTGCTGCAGCAGCACGCCACAGATGCAGCAGAGAGCAGCAGCAGCAGAAGAGACAGAGAAAGGGCCCCCATTGTAATGACTACACACACACACACACACACACACACACANACACACACACACACACACACACACACACAAAACCCTAAACCCTAAACCCTAAACCCTAAACCCTAGCAAGAGTTACACTGGAGCCATAAGCAATCACCTTCAGCAGCAAGTGAGGGTTCTCCTCCTCTCCCCGCCTCCTCAATTACTTCATACAGAGATCGTTTGGGGGCCCCCCTGGGGGGCCCCATGGGGGCCCCCCTGGGGGCCCCCATGGGGGGCCCCCCACTGGTGCTTGGGGGCCCCTTCTCTTGCGGCGCAGCAAACCCCATCACCGCCATGTGGGGGGCCCCCCCCTCGTCACCCACGAAGCAGCAGCTGCGCCGCCAGCGCCCCGTGAGGCCCCGCATTGCCTCTTTTAGGGGCCCCTGCAGCAGCAGCAGCAGCAGCAGCAGTGGTGGTGGTGAAAGCAACAGCAGCAGAAACAGCAACAGCTGCAGCAGCAGCAGCAGCAGCAGCAGCAGCAGAGACGGGGAGTTTTTTCTCCTTACCTTTAACTGAGATATCTGCTGCTGCAGCTCATCCATCGTCTGCTGCTGCTGCAGCAGCAAAACACAAACAAAAACACACACCACCCTTCACCACCCGCACCCCTCCATGGGGCCCCCATGGGGGCCCCCATCGGGGCCCCCAGAAAGGGTACCCGGGGGCCCCCAAAGGGCCCAGGGGGCCCCCAAAGGGGTTCTTTAGGGGCCCCCGCTAGGCAAAGGGTATTAAGAAGGAGACAGAAAGGAGACAGAAAGGAGACAGAAAGGAGACAGCTGAATGGGAGAGTGAGGGGAGACAAAAGGAGACAAAAAGGAGACAGAAAGGAGACAGAAAGGAGACAAAAAGGAGACAGGGAAAGGAGACAGAAAAAAGGAGACAAAAAGGAGACAAAAAGGAGACAGAAAGGAGACAGTTGAGGGGCGGGGCTGTGAGCTCACCGCGGCGTTTTCTTGTCTATCACCACTCCGATAGCAGCTGCAGCAACAGCAGCAGCAACAACACAAACAACAGCAGCTGCAGCAGCAGCAGCAGCAGCAGCAGCAACAGCAACAGCAGCAGAATATATTCGCTAGCAGCAAAAAGGAGACAGGGGGGCCCAAAGGGTACAGTGGAAGCTGTGGGGTGGGCCCTATACCTGGCATCGCCTCCTGCAGCAGCTGCTGCTGCTGCTGCTCCTGCTGCTGCTGCTCCTGCTGCTGCAGGAGCAGCAACACTCTCAGAAGCAGCAGCAGCAACACCACGCGGTCCTGTTGGCTCTGTATGCGAACCAAACCCTTCCCCCCAAGGGGCCCCCCCAGGGGCCCCCCCGGGGGGCCCCCCGGGGGCCCCCCTGGGGGGGCCCCCAGGGGCCCCCGAAGAAGGGGTTGAGTTAATATCATCAGTGCATGCGTTTGAGGGGGCCCCC